GTTTTCTTAATGACCGGGTTTCTGCACCGTATAGCAGGACTGGCCGAACTGTCGCGGCATACACTCGACCCTTCACAGACAACCGGATGTCGCGACGGCGCCACAGATGTCTCAAGTTGGCAAATGCCAACCGAGCATTCTGTATGACAGCTGACCCTTCATCCGTGATGCGTCCACCGGGTGAGATGTAGCTGACCAGACAGCAAAATTCGTCTATTTGACATATTACTTCCCCAGTTAGGGTAAGGCTGGGTGCTGGACCAACCCAATCTTGTAGTAACATTTTACACTTTGAAGGTGCGAAACGCATACCGAACATGGCTACACTAGCACTCAAACTATTCAGAATAGCTTGCAACTTACCTGGATCTTCAATCAGCAGCACAATGTTGTCTGCATACTCTAGATCAGACAGTCTGCCTCCTGGAAGTAAATCAATACCACTATTCTCGCACAAGGATAGGGCTGTTTCCATAATCAAATCTATAACAAAGTTGAATAGAAAAGGAGAAAGAGGGCAACCCTGACGAACACCACTTTCCGTGGTGAACTGGGACGAAAAAGTGCCGTGAGCTCGGACACGACTTCGGCTATTAGTAAAACTTCTCGGGCACATCCCTCAAGGAAAGGCAGTGCTAGGGTTTATAGCGGTCGACTGAGTCGAAAGCTGCTTCCAAATCCAGGAAAACAGAGATGGTGGGTATATGAAAAGAATGTCGGTGCTCCAAACTTTGGCGAAAAATAAAGATGTGGTCGATGCAACCTCGACCAGGTCTAAAACCAGCCTGGTTCTCGCGCATGCACCGTTCACGTGAGGCAGACAATCGACGGAGTATGATACCAACGAGAAGTTTAGAAGCAATGTTTACTAAACTAATTCCTCTGCGGTTTTCACAAGAGGATCTGTCACCTGTATCGTAAATCGGTATGATGGCTTATTCACACTATTCAGCTGGAACTTCTTCCCTCTCCCAGATTGAGCCCAGGAGTTTCGCCAACTCCAAGACTAAAGCTGAGTCTCCATCCTTAAACGCTGATAAGATAGCCCGACTGGGCCAGAGGCCTTATGCGTTGAGATAGCTTATTTCCTAGGAGGACTGGCATCAACTTGGAGAATTTGCCCAGTCGAGGTGGGGGTGATGGGCAGATGTCGATGGAGGCCAGTTGAACTGAGCCTCGAAATGTTCAGCCCAACGGTCAAGACTACGTTGCTGGTGCCGAGTGTGCCTTTAGATTCCTTAGTCAGCTCACAACGATATACAGTGAAGCGAAATTTACTGATCTCTGCCAAACTCGTAATGCACTCAAAGTTAGCGGTAATATTTAAGGTGGACAAGGAATTGGCCTATTCCGAGGAAAATGGAAGATGAACCTCCATGGTCAACACAGAGTACATAATCGAACGCTGTATACATACCGTTTCATTGAGTGACGTGGCTGAGTTTCGCAAAAGTGGCGTTTGTACATCTCAATTTCTTTGCAACCTGAGACCACTGAAGTTCTCAATTTTCTCTTCGATTCTACTTTCATGTTAACTGTCTTTATCGTACTGCTTCATCCAGTTGGGCAGTCAAAAGACGCACGAATGTGCATGGTTAATGGTTGTACAAACTGAAACTGAATAGTCGTTCCTTAAAAGTAACCGCTCTACACCGCCTCTGATGGCTTGGTCAAGTTTTGCATCTGCCTGCCCGTTGTCTATTCTTCCGTGCACTTTTTGCACATGCTGGACAAGGGTGGAAGGATCGCCATGGCGGTCAGATCATAACATGATGTAGAGGGATGTAAAGGTTAGCTTCAGATGTAGCCCGTCTTTCAGGTTGGGACCCAAGGGATGCGGACTATTGTTGGACAGGGAAGCTGAGAGATGCGGTCCAAAATAGAAGTCAGTGGCGCGAATGCTATACGGTCTGTCTGCCGAAATCCCGTGCTCCGTGAAAAACGACTAACTAACACAAAACATTTGTTATTCCAGTCATCTACTATTTTCCATTTTAACTGTTCAACCTTCTTTTCACTCTGTTCTGTGTCCCAATCCAACCATCCTCTATTATTGCTATAACAGTAATATAACTATTTATTAGTATTATTGTTGTAGCGTTGGCACCATGCTTGTCAGCAAGCCAGTGGTAAACACATACACTGCAGTCCCTTCTCCCTTCCAAGACACTTCTCCTCTCCCTCTACTTGGATCATCGGATTACCGTATTTTTTCTTGCTCTATCCAATTCACTCGCTCCGATCCGCCATCCACCTCGAAACACACATCAGGTGTGTCCGTTGAGACAAACCATGGGACATGAGCCGGAATAGCTGTGTGAGAAGCTGACGCTAGTGGCCAACTAAACTGTCTTGAAGTGCTCCGCCCAGCGTGCAAGACCTCGCTGTTGGTCAGGAGTGTGTGAGCCATCAGTTTTGCAGATCGTTTCGCCTACACCCAAGGTTTTCACATCGGTGACCCGGATGAGATGGAACAGTTTACGGGAGGTCGCCATGGCGACAGCATATTCCATTTCTGATGTGCGTTGAGACCACCGCACTTCTCGGTCTCTGTGTAGGCTTGCGTAAAACTCACGTCTCGTTACGTGTCCTATTTCATTATGCTCGCTACCGGTCGGGATTGATAAGTATGCGTCGAGAAGGCGTAGAGACCCCACAGAGATCCAGGGTGTCGCGGCACGACGTATCAGACCACAAATAAGTAAGTCAGCAGAATGTAGAGCATTCCTGATG